GACTAGTGTTGTCCGAAAGCTCTGGTTCTATTTCTGGCTGTTTACTTACGTTTACTTTTTAGCTGCTGCTTATCATTTTTGTATCTCTACTGAGATCCAGCCATTGTTTCCCACAGCATTGTTGTTTTCCAGTATATATATATACATATACATATATACACACACACACACATATATATAACTTACTTAATCTAAAGCATTACTGTGGACACTTAAGGTCATGGTTTTTAGGGCACTCAAAGTCATTTTAATACTAGAAATGTGTTTTGGCGGCCATTTTGAATATTTATTTTGCATTTTCGCAATAAAGATGTATGCTATGGTGTTTTATATGTGTTCTATTTGATTCCTTGAACTAAACAACATAGGTTTTGACACCAAGATTGTGGTAGGCCTAATATGACACTTAGAGCCTTCAAACTGCCAAAATTGTGGTTTTTTGGTGGCCATTTTGAATATTTTATTAAATTTTGCATTTTCACGATAAAGATGTACATTATTGTATTTAATAATGTTTTACTGGATTCCTTGAACCAAAGAACGTAAGTATTGATAATACCAAAGATCATGGTAATGTGGACACTTAGAGCATTTTAAACTGTAAAAATTGTGTTTTTTGGCGGCCATTTTTATTTTTCCAATGTTCGGTGGGAACGGTTGGAGTGATATCGTGGTTCCCGCCAGTGGCGTAGAAAATATTTTTCATTGGGGGGGATGATTGGCGTGTTAGCCAGTGTCGTAACAGACGCGGGGGTGGGGGGGGGCAGGGGGAAACTGCCCCTCCCCTTACGGTTTTTACCGGGCTGACAAAGCTGGGTAATAAGAGAAAAGAAAGAGGGGAGAGGGGGGGAAAGAGAAAGAAGAGGAAAAGAAAAGGAAAGAAAAAGGGAAGAGAAAAATAAAGACAAGACTAAAAAGGAAGATATCATAATGACCAGACTCACAACACCCTGCAACCCCTTCTCCACTTCAAAAACTGTCATAACTCCTTTGATCAATGCTGCCCGATGGCGTAACCACTGGGGGACAAGGGGAAAATATCTATCTTTGTAAAATCTTCCCCACCCCTTTATAAATGCCCTTTCATCCCCTGAAAGTGCCTAAAAACCTCAAATTTCGCGCGCATTTCTTGTTAACATGGCCCAATTTCCTCTAAAAATTGCACATTTTAGGGAGTTTTGATCAATTCTAACGAAATTATAATTAAAAACACCGGGAGACAAGGGGAAAATATCCATCTTTGGAAAATCTTTCTCCACCCCTTGACAAATGCATCCTCTGAAAATGCCTAAAATTAGTAGAATAGAAGACACCATAGGCCATTTGCATAATAATGAATGATTACATAATAATTTCATAATTATATGGGTATGAATTTTTATAATGTTGATATATTAATTTGCATATGCGGGCATATTAATTTTCATATTTTGCTGGTATATTAATTTGCATATGCTGGTATATTAATTTGAATATGCTGGTATATTAATTTGCATGTGCTGGTATATTAATTTATATATGGTTGTTTATTAATTTCCATAATGTTGAAATATTAATTTGCATAATGCGGGTGTGTAAATAATAACGATATTGATAAAATTAATATTAATTTCCATAATGTTGATATATTAATTTGCATAATGCGGGTGTGTAAATAATAATGAGGATATAGGGTATCGCTGAGCCTCCTATCTAAGTAGTTCTGAAAAGAACTGTTTTTGTTGATTTAGTCTCAACGCTAAATAATAATAATAATAATATGAACTTAGATTACACAAATAGTAATGTAAAAAACCTGTGATAAATTGTATTCAACTTAGCTGAAAATTTGTAAATGAAAAAACAAATCTAAATTTCTAACTTATTTTCAGTAGGTCTTTTTAGTTAGGGAGAAAACAGGCAATAAGATTCGTTGAATAATAATAATATAAAACTTACATAGGGTATTCTCATCCTGTTTTTACAAATAGTATATAGTAATGTAAACTCCTGTTCCAATGTAATGT